AAAAAAAGAAAAAAAAGAAAAAAAAGAAAAAAAGTAAAAAGAAGTAAAAAGAAGTAAAAAGAAGTAAAAAGAAGTAAAAAAAAGTAAAAGTAAAAAAAAGTAAAAAAAAGTAAAAAAGTAAAAAAAAGTAAAAAAAAGTTAAAAAAGTAAAAAAAAGTAAAAAAAGTAAAAAAAAGTTAAAAAAAGTAAAAAAAAGTTAAAAAAGTAAAAAAACAAGTAAAAAAAGTAAAAAAACAAGTAAAAAAAGTAAAAAATAATTTAAAAAAATAAATAAAAAATGTATCTCCCCCACTGCTGAAGCTCATTGACGCATAATCCAAAGAGCATCACATCTGAGACTAATTCTTCCCGAAGGGGGCAAAGCTGGCGAAAGGCTGTTTCTAAGCACTTTTCGGCACTGAATCACCACCGGTTCCTGCGGGAAAGCGGCAGAGGAGAGCGCGGCACGTTGTCGCCCCGAGCCCCGGGGGAGCAGCGCATCGGCGGGACGGCCGAACGCGAAGACCCACTGCCGAGGTGACACCCGCCCAGGCCGTCCGCAGACCCGCTCCTAACCATTCCTAAAAATGAGTAAATAAATCTTTGGAGGCCGCCGAGGAAGACTGCCTGCCGCAGCTGGAGCGCCCCGTGCCTGCGTCGCGGACGCACACTTAATATTGAAGGGTTATTAAGCAGCCGGGGTGATGGGTGAAGGCTCCGTTAAGGAGGGGTTTTGACGTTCTCCGAGGCAGCGGAGAGCGCAGTCCCTGCCCGCACCCGAGTGTTTTCCCTGCAAGTTAAAAAAAAATTAAAAAAAAAAAAAAAGAGTTGAAGTTTAAGGTCGGGAAGAATGAAATGCTCCTCTGAAAGAAAAAAAAAAAAAAAAAAAAAGGCACAACGCCCGACAAACGGGATTATGGAAATCCCCTCCGGAAAACCATCCCCAGCACAGCGAGTCGATACCTAATTAGCAGCATTATTTCAGCCGGCACCTTTGCCCCGGCAGGGTAGAGAGATGTTAAAAGCAAACACGGGTGCTTCTCGTCTTCTGCTCCACGCCGGGCGCATCGGCACCCAGGATGCCCGCAGCGCCCGCCGGCGACAGTGGGTACCCCACCACGGATGGAGCTGGGGCAGCACCAGTTGCCCCAGGAGCCGGTCCCAATGCGCAGCCAGCCCTGAGGCTGAGCATCGCTCAGATACTTCACAGAGAGCTCATTTCTGGGTGGCCGGAGGGATTAACCGCCAGGGTAGGCGGCTGGAGGGGGTGATGGATCCATCCGTGTTCCCAAAACGAGACAAAACACCTTGTGGTGAGCCATGGCTTTGCCTGGGCTCAGGACCGGGCAAGCAGCAGCTTCGCTCCCTGAAATGAGATGTTATTAATGATCCCTTCTGGACCAAAAAAAAAAAAAAAAAAAAAAAAAAAAAGTAAAATCGATGAGACTATAAATCCTTGGTCCAGAACACAGCAGCTCCTTCCCTTGCTTACAGGTTCCTCCTGGCCAAGGACCAACGCCAGCTCAAAAAGATCCCCTGCAGGCTCCCTTTCAGGAGAAACACTGCAGTGCAGTAGCTGCTGGCCAGGAAAGCAGCCAAGCGAGCGCTTTCCCCGCCGTGCCGTATTTTGGGCTGGGCCGCGTCAGCCACCAAAGCCTGGGGGTCCCTCCCGTCCCACCAGCGCGACGGTACCGCTGTCACCGACCGCCTTACCCGATGCGCTCCTGCTCCATCTCCTCCATCTTCTCGGCGCGGGCGATGACGCGGTTGATGATCTCCTTCTCCTCGTCCGTCAGCTCCTCGCTCTTGCGCTGCCGGTCGGGCTGACCGCCCCGCGCCGCCCAGCCAGCGGGGAGCCTGCGGGGAGAGCGGGGGGCCAGGGCTTCATCCGCACATCACGCGTGGTCACGCACACCGCCAGGCGCCGATTCCCAAGCCCGGGGAAGAAGGGGTACGTACGATCCCTCCCCACCTTCCAAGCTCTCTCCCAGCAGGAAGGCCGCAAATGGTCCCCAGTCACCAGGCGGAAGCTCTTTTCCCCACTTTTGGGGGGTTTCATACGCAAACACGGAGAAAACCGATTTCCTTTGCAAAATTATTCTCATTATTCCCACGTTCAGCATCAACCGACACGGCTGATTTCGCACCCTGTTTGCGGCGGGGGCGCTGCGTCTGGTGTGCTACCGCCGCAGGAGAGGGTGTTTTTTTGGGGGACATTTCACCAAACACGGGAGTTTCCCCCCACCCCCTTCTCCTAACATAATTTCTGAAGACCCTTCCGTGGAGCCAGCACAGCCCGGGCACGAGGCAGCTTTAACCCGGTGACACGGCAACGTCGGCCGCTCAGCCCCGCAAATTAGCGGGCGGGCAGAGGGGCAACGCTAACGAAGGACACAAACGCCCAATCCTCCTCTCATCCCCCTACTCATCTAAAGACCATTCCGGGTTTTTTTCCCCCTCTGGGGCCGAGCAGACCTGCGTGGAACCTTAAAATTCATTAAAACCCTGCGCAACGCTTCCCAAAATTAATTGCTTTTTGGTTTTTTTCCCCCTTCCATCCAGGGCATGGTTTTTCCTGTAGCGGGAAAAGAGCAATAGGCCAAAAACAAACAAATAAAAAAAAAAAAGCAGGTGAGATACTTACTGCTCCTTCTCGCTGCTGGGAGGCACA